GATTTGTACTGCTTTGTCGAGTTGGCGATACTCGCTTCTTTCGCAACGAACTGATAAGGATATAGAATATCAATGGGTAGTTCAACAAAAACTGGACCGGGAACGTCACTTTGCGCGATCGAGATAGCTTTGCGTATCGTCGGAATTATGTCGCATACACGCGTGATACGAACTGCATGTTTGCAGATCGGTTTGAATAGGACCATTTGATCGATATCCTTTAGTTATCACTCATTCAATCATTTTATCGATATCACACCAACTACTATCGTTCCAATAAAGAACTCACCTGGAGTGCTCCACGATTCTTTAGCAACGTCGGTGCAGCACCTCCTAACAACAACACAGCCGATTCGGCCATCTGCGCGTTTTTGATAGCGGTTATAGTGTTTGTTAGTCCTTAATTAATCGCGATTGTTATTTGCAGATTACACCAACAAAAAAAAAAGCGATCAGGATAAGAGTAAGAAGGAAACCAGGTCCGGCCGTGACGGCCACAACACCAAACGACTGCCGCAATCGAGCACAAGCATCAGCCGCGAACACAGCATTCACCTCATGTCGAGTATCAATCACTTTAATGCCCAACTTTTGGGATGCAATCAAAATCGGTGATATATGCCCACCGCACAATGTGAATATCTCTTGTACACCATGACCCTTCAATTGTTCACAACCGTCAACATCGTCAAGAGCTCTTAGCAAAAACACAAAACTCTTATTGTTAGTAGTACCTTGAGAACGGCCGCAAGCAGCTCACCACCATGTCTTTGCGATGCTTCATCAACCTTGAACACAATATTTCTTATAATATTTCATTTGTACCCTTCCTTATCATTTGTAAAATCGATTCAAAATAATAAATATTAAAATGCACATCACATCAGCAGTAGTACAATTGCAATGGTCACCATCAAGCAATCACTATTCAAATCTTGGACTTACAATCAGAAAATTTTCGCTCAAAATGTGAGAGGTGACAGTTAAACTAGAAGAGTGTCCAGTTATCACTATAAAATCCACTGAAGGATTCAATTAATTATTCTAACCTGGAAAAGATTCGAGATGAAATGTTGTTTCTGATTGGGATGTGCAACAGTATCGTTGATGACCTTCTTCAATTCGCAAAAGTTTTTCAAATCCAAAAATTTCCACACGAGTGCAACTAATAGCAATAATAAAATAAGCGCCACTATAAACATCACTACCATCGTGAACTACCCTACAAACTCGTTAATATCACCAATCAAAAACTCCTCCAGCATAATCAA